CGGAGGTTTCCATGGCGGCGGGAGCTGTGTGCCATGCTGCCAGCCGCTTCCTCCTGCTGATGAGCACCCACGGGTCACACATCAGCTATTTAACAGGTGTCTCTGGGCATCCACCAGCAGCAGTGAGAATGGGCTGATGCGTTACCCAGCCCAGGTTGCTTAACATTTCCTTCTGTTACCTTCCAATTGGCACCTCCAATGCCATTTGGATTTTTGGTATAATTACTTTTAAGGAAAACAGCAGAAATCAGTCCTGATTCTCATTGCCACAAATAATCTTCAGACGCTGCTGGAGGCTTCGGCGCCGCGGCCACCCGCTCTCCGCCTCCGCCACCTCTCCCCGGAAGCCCCTTTGTGGCTTCACGAAGCCCACATGTTCTCGCCAGGTCTGAAAACCTGTGCCAAGGACGAAGGCATGCCATCCTTTCATTTTTTTAACTTTCTCTCATCCAGGAGTGAGGCTCGGTGAGTAACAGCTGCACTGATGCTTGTAAATGTGCTCGCATACACACATACACACAAATACACATGCCTACAAGAGTATTCTTGCTCCCACCCTCCCCCTACACATTTTGTGTAGGGTTTTTTTTTTTTTCTTTCATGATTCTTTAGGTTAGCAACCACAAACTCAAATTCAGTCATTCCTTTGGTAAATGCCTGAGCTCCTAACATGGACCACTCACCAGGGCTGCCCCTAGGTTGCGTGGGGTCCTGGGAAATTATTTTTTGCCCGAGGAGAGGTGAAGGTTCTGGACATTTCCTCAGGCCTCCTCTCCCAGCTCCCGAGGCCCTTCAGTGCCGGAAAGAACCCGGCGAATTGTTTTCTGACAGCATCCCAGCATCCGCTTTGGGATGTAGGCGATGCCTCTCCACCTGGGGGAGCCTGTTAAGGAGTCTCCATAGGGTCAGAAGGCCCCCCTTCCCCGAGACAAACAGCGTCCTAGAGAGAGATGGACGGCCACTGGGCCTGGGCCTTCCTGGGGCTGGCCAGGTGACCCAGCTCCCATCAGTCTTGAGCACCCACTGTGTGCCGGGCCCCAGGTCAGCTGCCCAGGGACACAGTGATGAGCGCTGTGGCTGCGGTGACAGGGTACCACAGCCTAGGAGGCTTAAACAACAGACATTTATCTCCTCATAGTTGGAGGCCAGAAGTCTGAGATCCGGGTGTCGGCAGAGTTGTTTTTCCTGAGGCCTCTCTCCTTGGCTGGTAGACGCCGTCTGCTCCCTGTGTCCTCACATGGCCGTCCCTCCGTGCGTGTCTGTGTCCTCATCTCCTCTTCTCATAAGGACACAGTCCTGTTGGATTAGGGCCCACCCCAATGGCCTCTTTTTAACTTAACCACCCCTTTAAAGGCACTATGTCCAAATACAGTCACGTTCTGAAGTGTGAGGGGTTAGGACTTCAACGTATGAATTTTTGGGGGACATAATTCAGCCCCTAACAAGGGGACTCATTCCCTCACAGGACCTGGCTTCCACGTGAGGCAAACTCTTGTGTGTTTCACAGCAAGACGTCTGGCAAAAGCAAAGGCGAGTCCGCTCACCTCACAAGCTCCCAAGAATCTCTGGGACCCGCTGCCTGGCGCCTTCCACCTCCCCTTGTGGCGGGGTTGGATGTCTGATGGTGAAGCCAGGAAGACTTGCCTGAAGACACAGGGGACCTTGAATCCTCAACACCCTCGCCCACATCTCTTGGCTACTGATAGACAATAGCCCCCTCCAAAATCTGGAACGATGATTTTATCTGCCCTTTAGATTACAGTTAAATTCATTTGATTTACACTTTTTAAAACTCCCCTCATGGCCATATCGGAAGAGCAGTAGGACAGAGCAAAACCTTCTTGTCCGGCGACTCTGCCCAACACGTCATCCGCTCGGCCGTTTCCCGGGTGGGCGTGGGGAACCCCAGCGCCCCGGCTGCCTTTGGAGCGAGGATGGACGATAGCTCTTCCTGTGGCGACGGACCTGGTGGGGCAGCTCTGTGGCTCCCGGCCAGAAGGAGCAGCTGCTCTTCTCTACCAGAGGCAGCCTGGACGCCACACTTCCCACCGAGGGGAATTTATCTGGGATTAAGCATTTGTGTGTTCAGTGTTCATTCAACCCTCACGCTGAATTGATTTTCCGATGGGATTTGGTTAAAGGTGCCAGCAAGCGGTGACCGTCACGTTGGCTTCAGGCAGTACAAACAGAGGAAGCCACGAAGGAGCCTGTGGTCTGAGACACGGCCGAGTGGGGGCGTTTGGCCACGGGGACTCCCTCCAGGGTGGAAGGGACAGACGTTTCTCCTTTCTTCTCTCCTTACCTGCAAGGTCAAAGCCGAGATCACGAGGGGCTGCACTGCCTTTCTGACAGGCAGGGGGAGAAATGGGTGGGCAGGCCGGGAGCCGCAGTCCCAAGGCGGCACCTCATCAGCGCCCGGCTCCGCGGACGACACTTAGGAGGGAGATTTGTGGGGTTCATCAGATCCAGGCTTTGACACATGCCTTGTTCCTTGAGTTGCTAGGAGAAGCTGCTGGGGAGAAAAACAACAGAAAACAGCGTTTTCTTGTCCCCTCGTATGGACGCAGGGTGATGGAGGCGTGGCTGGGGCAGGGGATGGTGTGGATGTCTTGCAGTGGTGTGCTGTGTGAGGGACCGTGGCCCCCGCTGGCTCCCTCTCGTTTCGGAAAGCACAGGGCATTGCTACGTGTCTCCCAACATCGGCTTGGCTCTGGACATTTCATCCTTCGTGTTGATCTGACACTGGTGGTCGGGCAGTGGCCGCATCTTACCCCATCACCGTCTGCTGCCCACGCGGTCACTGACTTAGCCAAGGTGTGCAGGTGCCTCCCCGGGCGGGGGAGCTCCAGGCCCTGGGCGGGCCGGCTGACCACGGGGTCAGGGCCTCAGTCCCTGGGCTCTGGGGCTGGTCTGTGTGACAGGAGGCTGGTCGGTGGTAGAGGGGGTGTGCCCTGTGTGGGAGGTGACTCAGGCTGGGCCTTGTCATCCCACAGTGTGTAAACAGTAGGTGCTCGGAAGCATGTTGCAGGAAGCCCGATGCTCTTTACCAGTTTCTAAGGGAGCCCATTAGTGGAAACCAGCCTGGCTGTACAAGGACTGGGCTGTCATGGATGCTGCCAGCATGGGCTCTCCTCATGGGCTCCTCTTACTTATTGACTCTGTTGTCCCAGGACTTGGTATAACCTGAACCCAGTAATGCAGAGGAAGTGTGCTGGAGTGTAGGAGTGTGCATGTGTGTGTGTGTGTGATTATGTGTACATGTGTATACACACATGCATGTGAGATTGTGTTTATATGTGCGTGTATGGACATGTGTGATTGTGTGTTCACGTGTATGTCTGTGTTGACATGTATATGTGTATGTGTGTGGACACCTGTGTATATGTGTGATTGTGTATATGTGTGGACATGTGTATGTATGTGTGATTGTGTATATGTGCACATGTATGTGCACACACAGGTGTGAGATTGTGTATACATGTGGATGTATGTGTCTTCATGTGTGGGCACATGTGTGTATGTGTGATTGTGTGTACATGTGTATGTAAGTGTGTTTGTGCGTGTGTACACGTGTAAAATTCAGTGAGCACTGTATGCAGTTTGATAAGGGGGCAGTGTGCTGAGGTGGGCACTCGGCGTGACTGAGCAGACAGGAGGTATTGTTTGAAGAACTCTCTCAGCGAGGGCGAGATGAGGTGAGAGACCTTCTGTACGGGAGGACCTGCAGGCTGAGGTGCAATCGATATCCGAACACCTGCTAAGTTTGGGCTGTGTTTAGCCAAAGCTGCCATATATATTGGCTTTCACAGATTCAAATGAAAAACAAAAACAAAAACAAGAAGAGATGTGGAACCCCAGACCCCATCCATATTGAGCTAGATTCAGTAAGAGATGGAAAATTTCACAGCTCAAAAATGAATTATTCTGGGCCGGCCCTGTGGCTTGGTGGTTAAGTGCGCGCGCTGCAATGCTGGTGGCCGGGTGCGCATTGAGGCACCACTTCTCCGTCCATCCTGAGGCCGAGTCCCACATACAGCAACTAGAAGGATGTGCAGCTATGACATACAACTATCTACTGGGGCTTTGGGGGGAAAAAAATAAAAATAAATAAAATCTTTAAAAAAAAAAAAAAAAAAAAAAATCTTTAAAAAAAAAAAAAAAAAAAAATGAATTATTCAAAGATGGGAAGTAATATTCTGGAATTCACTGAGAGGGAATAAATGCTCCCAGGAAACTGAACAACACTCATGAAATGTCCACATGCTCAGATTATGAGACGGCCTCTAAAGGGTAGTTCTTTAGAGTGGCAACTCTTCGGGGGTCCGTCCCTGAAGAGGGCAGATGCGGAGCCCGCAGCCCTGGGAAGCACTGAGGGGTCTAATTGCGTGCAGGGGGTCCGAGGGAGAGCTCAGGTGGGTGCCACCTCTTCAAGCTTGACCGCAAACAGGCGGGGGTCGGGCCTCCCTTTGTGGGCACAGTGCCACTCAGAATGTCCCCAGTGCCTGTCCCTAAAACAAAGGCAGGAAGAAAAGGACAGCTTCCTCCCCTGAGAAGGACACTCTCACATGTGCTGAGTAAATGCGGCTCCTTTCTTCATCTGCTGATTTAAATGTTAAATTCCTACCTCCCTGTAAAGGGGCACCAGCCTGGTGGTACGTTTGTATCCCTCATGGACTTCTCCGGCACATGCTGCCTGCAGTCTGACCCAGCTGCCTCGGCCCCACCCGTCTCCGCGCACAGGCACCAACATCACCAATGTCCCCCTCGCTGCTCACAAACACAGGACACGCCTGTCCTTGTGCTCCGGGCACTGGTCTGACGTTTAATGCTGAATTTACATGGACATACACATCACAGCACACCGGGCAACTGCTCTAAGACGCACGTGTGAAAAAGCACGGCGTCCTTCGTCTCTGTGTGGGAAGTGGGGGAGTGTTTCCGTGGTTTATCAGAAGCAGCCCCGGGATACACAACTTACCAAAGAAAAAGTACAGTACCCGTTTCTGTATAAGAATATATTATTTAAAAGACAGTTTAAAAATAAAAATTCTGTACAGCATCATGAATCCCTTATTTTTGTATCAGTGAACAAAACGGTTCTTAGAAAACATGGTCTTATGGTGTCAGGCCCTCAGAATCCGCTGGTCCCTGCACGGGGGAGCCCCATACAGCTCAGCTGGCCCGGTCCAGAACAGCAGCAGAATGCTCCTGCTTTCTTCAGGCTCGGTCTGCTTGGAAAAGGAAAATGACAGCTGGTTTGTTTTTGCTGGGATTGAAAATGTGCAGGCAATATTACAAACATCACAGGATCACACACAATGTTTAAAAAATGAGGCCACGGGATTATTGCTGATCGCGTTTAGGAAACAATTTTGATCCCTCTTCTGAGCCATTCAAAAACATGATCTGACTTAAAAATGAGGAGCCAGCGCTTACTGAGCACATCTTATGCACCAGCACTCTGCTCTTCTGATTGCTGAAACAACAGGAGTAATGGTATTATTACCTCTAGTTTAGATCAGGGCTCTGAGGCTCAGAGATGTTGAGACGCTGGTGCACATCGCTCAGCTTATAATTAGCAAAGCTCTGACTCAGAGCAAGGTTTGTTGGATGCCGGAGCCTGTCACTGCTCCTTTTACAAAACCAAGCCCAGTTTCTCGTGCCCTGCACCTAGAGGGCTTTATAAACCGAGGATCTCTCAAATGATCCTTCAGACGTGTGTGTGGTATAACCTTCGTATGTGGGGGCTGAATGGGCTGGTTTCCTTCTACAAGAAGAGGCTATATCCACAACTGCATGGGAAAATGCTTACAGCCATAGAAGCAAATAATTTATTTTTGAAAAGCTTTTAAAAAGTGCTTTTCTTTATAAGTGGTACGTATGCTAATTATCAATCTTTTTCTATTAACTAAAGCATGTTCCCCTTCTTTCAGAGCCTAATTCTAATTATTATATACAAGGAATGAAAGTTTCACTTATGTAAAACTCTTCAGCCATGCAGATTTCCTTCATTCCACAGATTTCGGCACGGTTCCCATTTACTCAGAATCACTGTCTGCATTGAGACGTCAATTCAGATCAGCATACCTTCACTCTTTTTCACGTCTCTGCTTTTCTCTCTTGACTTCTCGGTGCCCCCAGAGGTCAGGCTCTCAGTCTTCTCCTGTGACCAGGACAGAGCACAGAGAAGGCAAGAATCAGGCTCCAGGAGATAGGGCGTGAGGGACTGGCTGCTTCAGAGCGTCCTGTTGACTGGAAATGCTAAAATGTGCAATGGAGACTGACATCTACAGCCTTGGTGCGCCAGGCGTGAGCTCTTCAGACACAGCTCTGCGCACCGGCCACCTTCCCCGCTATCGGATGCCTCGCCCCACGTGGCCACTGTCTGGCACTTGGACAACGAGCTTGCGCTGGCTGCAGCCACCCTGGGGTCCTGACTCGGCCAGGCCAGCTCACAGGGCTTTGTGGAAAGCCTCCACACGAGCCCTGCGCCTGTGAACGTGACCCTTCCCTGAAAGCAGCCTCAATACCGACAGCAACCTAAAGCCAGACCCGGTTGCCCTGACCCCGCAGAGGGACCGAGCTGCCACGTGGGTGAGTTCTGTGGCCCGGAGCCCGGAATGGGTGGTGGCTTTTCCCGTGCCATGGGGAGTGTCTCTTTCCACTGCCCTTCCCACTGAACAAGGTCAGCCCTGGGCCGGAGGAGGAGGGGGACCCACAGGGGCCAGGGCGCTGCTCTGAGGGGATCCGGGATGCTGTGAGGCTGCTGAAACACTCGATCATGTGTGCACAACCATCGGCACGGTGCAACTCCCTCAAAGGAGCTCAGAGCGTTGGCATCCTTGGCCCCGTGCACTTTCCATTTCCCTGCGAGTACAGACCCCCTAACGCGACTGGGCCCTGCTTTCCGGTGGGATGGAGATGAGCTCCCGTCCAGCGGGGCCGCCTGCAGTGGTGCCCGCTCGGCCGGTTTATGGTCAGGACTGTGGAGCGGCACGTGCTGGGTCACCCGCTCGCCACGCGGGACACCGCGCTTCCTAAAGAGCACGTGTTACCTCTTTCATGGCGTCGTCTATTTGCTTCAGCTCCTCATAGCGGTCTCTGGATTCCCACAGGGGCTGCAGCATGAGCTCCTTGACAGCGGGGAAGAGCTGGGAGACAGACACAAGGGGATTCGTTCAAACAGTCCCTCATTCTTAAAGCGACAGAAAGCATTTCAGAAAAGCAGGTGTCAGGTCCTATGTGTCTCAGTGGGGCGCACAGGAACTCTGCCGCCGCCCCAGCGGCACTCCCGGAGCATCCTGGGGGGCGGCCTGCAGCGGGATCCGAGGTGACGGAGGTTCTGGAGCCGTTGGGTCTTGGCCCGCCCACCCACTGCCAGGGTCCCACTGTTTCCTGCTCTTATGCTTTCCACATGGACCTGGCGGAAGCCGCTCCCTCCCCTCTGCCTCCCGTGTCCCCCGACTGTCCCTGTTCCGGTTTCCCATCTCCTAAACGCCAACCTCACCCTTCGCTTCCGCTCACACCCACACCCTGGCCTGGCGAAGCGGCTCTGCCCTCCGGCCTGTGGCTCTCAGCCCACCGTGTCCACCTGGTGGACATTCATGCCTTTGAGACTCAGCTCAGGGGGCGCTGCCTCCCCTGTGAACCTTCCCCAGCCCCAGGGAGGCGTGACCCCTGCCACCTGGCCCCGCAGAACCCTGTGCCCACAGCTCTCCCCCTGTAATGCTTTCTAAGTTCCCTCAGTCACACCCCTGCTCCTGGGGCAGGCCAGGGCCGGGCCCATCATCGCATCACTGCACCCCTGGCGACCAGCACCGGCTGGCCCGCAGGGAAGGTTCCAAAGTTTGTGGATGCAATGCTACATACAGGAAGGTGAGTTCCCAGGGAAGTAACAGTGCTACGGGGTTTGAGGAAGGACGTGCCGAGGTAGTTCTAGAAGGTTGGCCGGATGACATGGGGCCGAGGCTGGGGAACCACAGGGGAAGGAAGGACGGGCTCAGAGGTGGAGGTTGAAAGACAGGTAAGGACTAGCTGTGGGCCGTCTTTGCAAGACAGGAGTGCCGGGGAAGATGGGGACATGGGAAATGAGGTGGGGCAGCTTGCCCTGTGTTGGGGGCAGTGGGGAGCCATGGAAGGTTCAGGAGAGAGGCAGACACAGTCTCCTTCCTGAAGACAGTGTGCTGGGTGGAAGTTAGGGCAGGTTAGGAGGGTCTTCTGAAGGTGACATGAGAGGAGCTGACCAAGGCTCCTGGCTGGTGCCCTGGGAGTGGGAGGGCATGGGGGCGTCTCTGAGACACTGTGGAGATGGTCTCCGGGAGCCAGCGGGCTGGCAAAGTGGCTGACAAAGGAGAAGCAGAGAGGCTCTGTGGCTCTGCTGCTGTGTCACTGCCCGGTGGGGGCAGGAGGCTGGGTGGGGCGGTGTGGGGAGGCCAGAGGAGGAGTCTGTTTTGAACATGCTGGTGTTAAGGTGGAGGGGGGACTTCAGGTGGGGCATCGGGCAGGCAGCCACAGCACACAGCGTGCATGTATGTGTATGAATGTGTGTGCACGAGTGTGTGTATGCACAGTGCACGTGTGAGTGTGTGCAAGCACATGTGTGCATGCACATGTGTGCATGCATGTGTATTTCCCACTGTCCGGTCACCCAGCGCCTGGTCACGGTCACTCACCTTGGTCACCATTTCGAACATCGGGATCAGGACAAACTTGATGAACCCAATTTGGGCGGTGGCTTTGGTCACTTTGTCCCGGTCCATGAAAGGGGCCACAGGGAGGCCTTCCGACTTTTCGCGGTCGCTCTGCGGGGAACGCAGGAGATGGAACGTTAGAGAAAGTAGTGCCCAGGGAATCTGGAGAGCACAGAGGATCGCTGTTCTTAGAGGAAGAGGAAGACGAGCCAGCGACCCACCACACCGCTCTGCATCACATATATTAGTAACCAGGAGAGACAACAATACCCGAGGTGCTAACTAGGGTGTTCGCTGGGTGCACAGGGTCGAGCTGTGAGGACCGAATAGGGCGACAGGTAGAGGCTAGTTAGCGCATCACAGGCCCCTTATAGACCCCTTCCACCCCACCAACTTCTCCCGAGGTTCATGAAGTTGTAGTAGTTAGTGGCTTATTGTCCTTTCCAGCATTTTCCATCTTAGGCTGGCTTGCCTTTCTGTGTTAGAGCTTCCCCACTGCTACAAGGTAGGCTGACCTGTGTGGTCCCTCCACCCCGGGGGCTCCCTCCTGCTCTGCAGCTCTTCCTTCTGGAAACTTCCAGGCAGTTTCCCTGACACATCTGCCCCAAGAGCAGCTCAATTAGGGTAACAGGTGGCAGTTTTACAACATTAGCTTTTCCGGGTTGTCACTGTCTTTCATATCTCCAATTACAACCTATTTTGTTTTTTTGTGTGTGTGTGTGTGAGGAAGATCAGCCCTGAGCTAACATCTATGCTAATCCTCCTCTTTTTGCTGAGGAAGACAGGCCCCGGGCTAACATTTGTGCCCATCTTCCTCCACTTTACATGGGATGCCGCCACAGCATGGCTTGACAAGTGGTGCCTCGGTGCACGCTGGGATCCGAACCCGGGCCGCCAGCAGCGGAGCGTGCGCACTTAATCGCTATGCCATGGGGCCGGCCCCAACCTATTTCGTTTTTGATGTGTGCCTGCTGTGAAGGCTTGCTGGAGGCTGGTGAGACTGCTTGATGGGCAAGGCCACCTTGGCACATCTATCAACCATGAGCCCTGATAAAGGGGCTGGGAAGAGGCACAGGCGGCCTGACGGCTGGGCAACACTCTTACCTGCATAAAATACTCTTCTAACAAACAGTCTACCCAGGGTTCTGCGACATCCGTCGGACGCACCTCGTTGGAGATATCACAGCATTTGATCAAAATCATCTTCAGCTGGAAGAAGAGATTCGAAATTAGGCCAAAGGACACAGAACATGTCCCACTGCTGCTGGGGTCTGGCCTGGCTGTCACAGGCGCGGGCAGACGAGGGCGGTGATGCTGGCAGAGGAGGAACGGAGCTTGGCTGCCTCCCTCCAAGGATGCGACCCTTTCATGCTGCAGTGGGCACCCTTGCAGTCTGCATTTAGACCTCCCACCCGGGGAGAACAGCGGGCATCACTGGACCCCCAAAGGATCAGAATCTTTTTTGGAGGAGGCCTGAATGGTAGAAAAGCCCTTTTAACACAATGACATTTTGTAATACAAGCTATACGTTGTAAAGTTCAAAAATATCCTCTTGATTATTGAGGATACACAAAAAAAGTAGAGAGACGGTATTGTTAGGAGGCAGAGGTTCAAAGGGTGACGAAAAGAAACCCTGAGGTGGAGAGTGCTGGGACTGAACGAAGTGACACGTTTAGCATACAGGGTGAAGGGGACCCTCACGTAAGAGCAGGGAGGGCACCCGACACCCCTCAACTCTGGGGAGGGAAGCAGGAGTAGGGACCGCAGTCCTGCCTGCCGACTTCCCGGGGAATCCATTGGGCAGAACTCCGATTCCATCTGCCCCCTCTGGCCTGGAGTCAGCAAATTAAACGAGCGTCCAAGGTGGTGTTGGCTTCGGCCTCTGCACCCAAGCCGGCATCTTCCCTGCATTAGCCAGGGCGCTCTGCCCAGCCCCGTGCGCTTTCTCCCCATATGCGTGCCCTGGCTTAAGCCGCCCTCCTATAGAAGCCTCTTCTTCCCCGCTGTCCACACCTGAGTGTTTGCCCTTCCAGGTCCCGCTCTGGGCCCTCCTTCCAGGCTTCCTGGCCACCCAGCCCCAGACGTGTCCCCACAGCACTGCACTCGCTCATGCACGTCTGCATTTGGGCCTCCTCTGGGGGCCTTGGTGAGGCCTTTTACTTTGACCCTGAATGTGCATTCCTGCCCGTCACTCTCTGCCTCTCCTGGCCCCCAACGCTCATCTGCTTGTGGAGGGATGGGACACTGGGTAGCTAGTGCCTTTTTGCCCCTTGTTTGCACAGCTGCAGTGAGGGAATAAAGGCCTGATGGTTCCTTTCTGCTTGGCCCATTGTCTGGCCTCCTGCCCCGTCTCCCTATCTCAGCTGGCCTTTCCTCACAGTTCAGGGGGAAAAAGAGGCACCCAACGGGGGTACTGTCTACACTTCCATCCCTGTCTTCATCCTTCTCACCCTTCCTGACATCTCAGAGGGCGAGGAGGCACCTCTCATGTTCCACTCGTCTTCCAGAAGCAAGGACCTCCTTCAACAGGGCTGCATCTGTAATTTCCATCTCGGTGAAGGGATGCTGTGGGAGGCCCTGGCGTGGGGGGGATCTGTCTTCCTGCTGCTTAGTTTTTAAGAACTCGAGCTTCTTCCCTGCATACTTTGTGTATTAGCTATAATTCAGTTTCAGGGAGTGGATGGTTCCTGGAGGGCTTGACCCACGGGGACTGGATGATCAGAAGGTCAGCCAGCTCTCAGCAGGATGTCCTTGTTAATCGACTTCCAATGATGGAAAGCAACGACGTGGATTTTAAACACTCAGTTTTGAAAGAGTGAGAAGGCCAGAAAGTAGACTTAATACTGAGGCAAGACTCAACATAATCCCCTTTCTCTCTGACGACTGGGAAGGAGAGTTCTCCTGCATCGTCCTTGTCACCAAGGGCAGACACAGGTGACTCAGGCTCACACTCCTCACTGGTGAGGCTCCCCCTGTCTCTGGTCGCCCTGCCCCGGTTATAGACGGGTGCCCCAAGCATGGGCCAGGTCGGGTGCTGTGTCGGAAGGTCTGGGGGTCCCACCGGCTCCCTGAGTTGCCCTCCTAGAGGCTGGTTTTCAGTGTCTTCCAGGCCGTGCCTTCGTGGGAGAGCCAACTTTGTTCTCAGGAAACCAGAGCAAGATGAATGGCCTTCGCCCACTTATCACCTTCAAACCAGAATGAGATGGAGGAATGGGAAACACTGTCTTTAAGCAGGAGACGGGCCCCTCTAGGGGGCTTTCCCTGGTAAGAGGTGTGACTTTGAAAACTAGCTTTATCGACACCTCACTCCAAGGCAAGGTTAAGAATTTTGGTTTCTTGGTGTCCAGGCTAAGCTGGAGGCTGGACACATGCACCAGGCCCCCCAAAGAGGTAAAACAAGCCTCCTTACAAGAGTCATGTGCTCCTCGTTGCTGTAGTCAAAATTCTCCATTTTTTCTTTGAAAGAATCTATAATTTCTGCATGCCTTGCCATGTCAGTGGCCAAGATCAACGTGATCATTCCCTGAAAAGCGAAAGAGCAAAGCGTTAGCGCCGGGCATAATCTCATAATCACTCAGCGAGCGCCTACCATGTCCTGAGCCCTCTGCACACATTATTTCATCCAGCCCTCCTGTCTAAGAATCACTGTCCTAATCTTTAAGATACAGAAACAAGCCCTGAAGAGGCTGAGGGACCTGCCCAGGCTGCGGCTGGTGAGTGGAAGGCTAGGGGTTAAGCCCAGGTTGGTGGGTGCTGGTGACCCCTCACATGAGGTGTCCTGCCAGGATGATGGCAGGCTTAGCGCTGCGAGTCCTTGAGAGGTCTGGTGGGGGGTTTCAGCCAAGGACAAAGGCTTCCCCTTGATTTAGTAATCTAGATACATGCTTTGTTCCTTCCAGATCTTGTTGTTGGAGGTCAATAACTGGTTTTCCAAAGGTATTTTTTTTCCTATTATCTAATCCGTATGTGATTACGTGTGCATATATTGCTTGGGAATGATCAGAGTCAGATTATATTGAATAGCATTCTTCTATTAACAGATTCGTAAATGAGGATGCAATAAGTTTTTTAATATAAATGTTTTATTACCTTGTTAACCAAATATTGGTTTAGGAGAAGTAACATAATTCAAAACCATGACCATCCATCAATCCACTCATCTATCCATCAATTTGTCCCTCTACTCATCCATCCACCTGTCCACTCATCTGTCCGTCCATCCATCCATCCATCTATCCATTCATCACCCACCCATCCATCCATCCATCCATCCATCCATCCATCCATCCATCCGTCCATCTGTCCATCC